CCAGTATTTCGTACTGCATATGAATAGAACCATATTTTCAGTTTTTCATAATGCCCCAATTATCAGTTTATTAGAGGAAGCTGTTCTAGGTGAATCATTTAGCTCAGGCTGAATGTTCTTCACAATTCACCTATTCCAGCCATATCTAAGAACTGTTCAAAAATTAAATAGAGAAAAATATGGGTGTAACCTCTTAATAAGCTTGAAACCTCTTCTATAATTCTGTGATTCTCTGTTGGTTGTAGAAAGGGTTTCTCTCTCTTGGGTTCACTTTTTGGAGTCTATATGGAATGGGCTGCTAGTGGTTACAAACACCTAGGTCTCCAGCTCCTCTTGGGTCCTGGTAGTAACAAAATACATCCGGTCTTCCCTTCCAGGTATCTTGTCCCTTTCTGTCTGTTCCTTTGGTTTCTTCAGCACCCTTGAGGTATTTATGCTCCTTTGTGCCACACAATTTTTCATTGCAGTGCACCTGAGCATGACTGCTGCTGTGTAGCCTGGGTGCCAAGCAGGAGCTCTGAGGCCAGGAGTGGGGTTTTCTGCTTGGCCTGGCAGCTGCTGTGTAGAGTAGTGGGGCAGGTTTGAGGCCAAAAAAAACAGCTGTGGGAAGGGAAAGCATACTGTGTGCAATGGGTGATTCAGAGAGTTTTGGCAACCAGGTTTCAAATTAGCTTGTGTGTAAACAGAAATTAATAGAAACTGTAATCTGGCCAAATTTGAGGGAAGTTTTCATGGACTCAGTAAAATGCTAACAATTCTTTGCCAGATTACAAAGCCTTGTTTAACAACACTGAAGCTTCTCAAAGAGCAAGTTGCTATATATTTTCTTTATAACCTGAACAAACAAAGTGATTTTCCCCAGCTTCATTCTTGGAAGCAGCTCAGCTCAATAAGTTGCTGTTTTCAAGAAAAAACATCACCTTGGGCATGTACCCAAATGTGGCAAACTTGCAGCTGAAAACTGGATCTAGTAATAAAACTGTGTTTAGCAGCATTGGTGTAAGTCATTCTAACAGTAAATAAAATTACAAAGATAGGTGGGACTCGGGAAGGGAGAACTGAGGAGAAGGGAAGGAATAGAGCATGGAAACAAAAGGAGAAAGGTGAAGCCATGAAGGTAAATGCTGAGACTGCAGAGCAAGTTAAATAGTAAAGAGCATGGAGAAAGTTAGATGATAGGTGTCATTTCACAGTAAATGGGGGTCTGCATAAGTGTTTTGGAATAAGCAGTGCATGGAGTTAGCTCAGTTTTGAAGAAGTTGCATTAGTCTTAACCAAATAATAAAGTGTCAAGCATAAAGACATTATGGATTTGTTGTTAACATTATTTAACCCATTCCTATGAGCTGTTCCAAAGCTACTGAATTCAGTGCAAATAATTCTTGCTGGCAGGTGGGATTTGTATCATATACTTACTGTAGAGAAAGTTTACAGCAAAAACATCATCAAATCTCAACAAGTGAACTACAGAATTATTTTATCTAGACTACTTCCAAAGCCGTGTGTTGTAATCTTGAACCATCTGGTGGTTTTTGGTCTTGGACTTAAGTACCAAATCAAAATCCTCCAGAATGCAACAAGGTTCCATTGAATTGTTCTGATCCATTTGACTCTACCTTAAAAAGCTTAATTCAGCTACTTTTGATACATCTCTAACAGGTTTATGTTTGGTCTGTTCTACAATTCAGATTTTGGCTAAACCTTCTTACAAGGAGGCACCAACAAATCAGTATGCAAGAAATGAAGACATGCCATTTATTCTATTATTCAAGGATAATAGAAACTAAAACCACAAATAGAACATAAAACCACAGTAAGGTGTACCAAAAAAAAGCAAACAAAACAATTTGTTAAAGATATAGGTTACCATTATTCCAAATAATGGAATAGGAAGCCTGTCTTTATAAAGCAAAATTTACAGGTGAAATTAAATTTTCCTGAATAGGAGAAAGAAAAGCCAGCTGCAAAGAAGCACCTCAGTGATACACAGTGATAAATCGATAAGTAAAATTCATTGTTAGTAAATGAAAGTAGTTGTCAAAAGGGTAAAAAAAAATAAGTTTGTACCCAAGAATGGGTGCGTAATTGTGAGCAATGAAAATAGTAGCAGTCAAAAAAAGAAGCGCATTTCATATTAGAAATTTTTAGAAAGAAATAGAACAAAATAGAGAATATCATGGCTACAAGTTTTCAGAGTGGGAAGAAGAAAATTGAAGGAGGCTATGACAAGTTCATCAAGTCATGAGTGTCAACTAAATAGATGATGACTGTTCACTGACTCACTGCAAGGACATTGGGCATTAGATGAAACTAGGAGGTGCTATGTTTAGATTAAACCAAATGAAGTATTTTTTCATGTTTAATATACTTATGCTATGAAACTTCTTCCCACAAGCTGAGTTTACATTGGTTCAAAAGTGGTAATACTAGTTACTGATATCACTTACGGACTGTAAAGCTAATAATCCTGTCTCAGAGAGACAGTGAAACTCAGACTCACTTAAGGATGGGAAAGTGTGCTTGGAAAATCACTGCATGTTTGCCTTGTTGTAGTATGCTCCCTTACATGTAGAGAGGGGATACAGAGCAAGTAAAATCATAGAATCATGGAATGGCTAGGGTTGGAAAAGACCTTAAGATCATCTAGTTCCAACCCCTCTGCCATGGGCAGGGACACCTCACACTAAACCATCTCACCCAAGGCTTCATTCAACCTCGTCTTGAACACTGAGCATTCACAACTTCCCTTGGCAATCCATTCCAGTGCCTCACCACCTTAACGGGAAAGAATTTCTTCCTTATAGCCAATATAAACTTCCCCTGTTTAAGTTTTAACCCATTAACCCCTTTTCCTGTCACTACAGTCCCTAATGATGAGTCCCTCCCCAGCATGCCTATAGGTCCCCTTCAGATACTGGAAGGCTGCTCTGAGGTCTCCACGCAGCCTTCTCTTCTCCAGGCTGAACAGCCCCAACTTTCTCAGCCTATCTTCATATGGGAGGTGCTCCAGTCCCCTGATCATCCTCGTGGCCCTCCTCTGGACTTGTTCCAACAGTTCCGTGTCCTTTTTATGTTGAGGACACCAGAACTGCACACAATACTCCAGGTGAGGTCTCACAAGAGCAGAGTAGAGCGTCAGGATCACCTCCTTCGACCTGCTGGTCATGCTCCTTTTGATGCAGCCCAGGATATGGTTGACTTTCTGGGCTGCAAGTGCACACTGCCAGCTCATGTTCATTTTCTCATCTACCAGCACCCCCAAGTCCTTCTCCGCAGGGCTGCTCTGAATCTCTTCTCTGCCCAACCTGTACCTGTGCCTGGGATTGCTCCAACCCAGGTGTAGGACCTTGCACTTGGCATGGTTAAACTTCATGAGGTTGGCATCAGCCCACCTCACAAGCGTGTCAAGGTCCCTCTGGATGGAATCACTTCCCTCCAGTGTATCAACCAAACCACACAGCTTGGTGTCATAAGCAAACTTGCTGACGGCGCACTCAATCCCACTGTCCATGTCAGCAACGAAGATGTTAAACAAGACCAGTCCCAACACTGATCCCTAACAGACACCACTCGTTACTGGTCTCCAACTGGACATCGAGCCATTGACCACAACTCTTTGTGTGCAGCCATCCAGCCAGTTCTTTATCCACCAAGTGGTCCATCCATCAAATTGATGTCTCTCCAATTTAGAGACAAGGATGTCGTGTGGGACAGTGTCAAATGCTTTACACAATTCCAGGCAGATGACATCAACTGCTCTACCCCGTCCCTCAGTTCTGTAGCCCCATCATAGAAGGTAACAAATTGGTCAGGCAGGATTTCCCCTTAGTGAAGCCATGCTGGCTGTCACCAAGCACCTTGCTGATTTTCATGTGCCTTAGCATGCCTTCCAGGAGAATCTGCTCGAAGATTTTGCCAGGCACAGAGGTGAGACTGACTGGTCTGTAATTGCCCGGGTCATCCATTTTCCCCTTCTTGAAAATGGGGGTTATATTTCCCTTTTTCCTGTTGTCAGGAACTTCACCTGACTGCCATGACTTTTCAAATATGATGGCCAGCGGCTTAGCAGCTTCATTCGCCAGCTCCTTCAGGACCCGCGGATTTATTTCATCAGGACCCATGGACTTGTGCATGTTCAGATTTTGAAGATGGTCTCAAACCACATCCTCTCCTACAGTGGGCCCAAGGTCTTCATTCTCACAGTCCCTGCTTGGGCCAAGCAAGTGTAGCTTTTCATAGATTAAGTTTAACAAATGTTCCATTTAAAACTGCTGCCAAGATGCAAGCATATTTCAATTGGCTTGTAGCTTTCAGAGATGGAGAGATGGCTTTGTTTCTTTTGTGTGTTTTGATTTAATTTGAAACTGATATCTCCATTGAGATGAATAGGATAACATTTTTAGATCTTTGTTGTTATTGTCACATAAAAGTATGTTCCTTTCATGGCTAGTTATATTTTAATTTACTCACTGCATATATTCATATCTTATTTGTGCATTTAATCACATTATCAACTGTTGCCTTGTATTTAATGCCTACACTTTCCTTTTAATGCATTTTGAATGAGACCTGCACTATAAAGTTCAGCGTTCATTGGCAAAAAGCTACATTGGACTACACAATTTGTAAGCGTAAGAAAAACAATACACAGCACCTTTTATTCATGCCTAGGATGATGAGGAGACATAAGTGATGCTAAGCGAGGAAGGGTGCAAACACACTGGAGGACTGGACTGGGTTTGGATTAAATAGGTAATAGTAATAGTTTGGATTATATAGGCTGCAGTTTAATGTTCTCTGTTAGTGAAGTCTTAGGGTCTTCAAGAGGCCTAGGATTTGGGGTCATGTTATGTGGATATGAAGCAACAGGAAGAGTCTAGAGATCAGTGAGAATGGTCAGAAGTCTAGAAAACATGACTCACAAGCCGAACTGTGACTGTTATCATGTACTGTATCAAGTTTTCCTTTGAGTAGTATAGCGTCTTCAAATTCTCCTTTCAATAGTATAACATCTTCAAATTCATTAAGATAACTGTTTAGGATTCATCATTTAATCATGTTATCTTATGCCCTGGCATTTATAATTTGTAACAGGATCCAAGTTCCTAAATTTCTCTTTGTTTTGCTTAACTTTTTATATTTATCACCTTTTTTCCTGTGGCATGTGACTATCCTGTAATGCTGCTGTCCTTTTTCTTGTCTTCCATAAGTCATCCAACTTTGCTTGTACTTTCAATATCCATGTCAGACTATATGCTCTAATTGTATAGTTCCTGGTCTTCACTAACTCAGTAAAACACAGAAAGTTGTACTTTGAGCTATGACAGTGTAAACTATGGTAATTTTTATCAAAAATGGAGATTTTTCTCTGCCCCTCTTACCATACAACTCAATAAAAAACATGTCCAAACCTATTAAAAATCAATATTTATTTACATAAAATTTATTTGGAAAATATATTAAAATAAGTTGTCACATGTTTTATGTGACCTGCCCCCTAGTTATTATCATCCCGGAAGTACAGGTTTGTCAAATTCAATTCTGTTTCACCTTGAACTCTTGTAAAATCTATTTTATAGTAGATTGCTTATTTAAAACACTAAATACTATATTTTGACATACAACTTAAAATTCCTTTTACTTTGTTGGCTGTTCATTTTTATTTGCTTTACATAGGTCTTCAGTAATACTTAGTGGCAATGACACTCCTAGATTAATTGTGCATTGTTCAGAGTATATAACTTTGTCAGTTTTAATTTCATTGCCTTTCTGTTTCACTGAAACATGTTTTTCCAGAACTTGCAAGGGGATGAGCAAGGGTTATCCTAGTTCATTTATCTAATGTAGCAGTCAAAGTACAAAAGCCCAAGAAAGTCAAAAGATGTGTGTATTTTTCTATCTCCTTATATTAACAAATTACTCATGCTTGCAGTCTTCTTTTGACAGCCATGGCTGAACTCCCTCTCTCTTCTGAGAGCAATTGACCAGAATGAAACACACTGTTCCTAGTCAATCTGAACCATTAGTTTACAGAAATACATTAAAATTTTACTGGCATTTTCTTTCGCTGCTTTTGCATACTAATAGTTTGCCTGCCTTTGTCTACTATAGTGCATCAAGCTGATGTTTTCATTGAGGTTTTTGTGTGTTTCATGAAGACTCCAAAGTGTAGGGCTCTCCAGGAAGTCTGAGGGATCTAGGTGTCCATCTCTAATTTAAAATTCAAATTTAAAATGAATTAGTAACTGAAGCTCTTTAAATGTTGAAACTCTCAGCCTGTATCTTTTCTGAATAGCTGCATGGGGCAATCTTCTGAATTAACCAGGTGATGAAGATTTCCTGACATTCCTACACTTTCTGAGATATTTTTTAAATCCACATTGAATCTTTGCTTTTTACATGGAAGCTTAAGAGCGAAGTAGCTTGTCAAAAAGTCAAGTAAACTATGGAAACTGGTTCTTTTCCTTGTGCTGTTTAGCTTGCAAGGTCAATGAAATCTAAAACCTATGCAAAAATTTTGCTCAGCAAAAAGGGATATGTTTTGGATTATATGGGAGGGGGACTGTAATCTAAATAAATTGATTTCATTTTAGCATATTCCCTCCCATTTTCTTATTTTTTTAAATGTAATTTTTCCCAGTTTGTACCAATGACTGAAAGGGGTTTTGGTTTGGGTTTTGGTGGGGGTTTTTTTGCATTTTTCATAGCTTTAAAATTATCTTTCAACATGGGAGCTGATATTGCTCATATTGATTTTTGTCAACTCTGTAATTTAAAATCCCTCTAGAACACCCGGATATATTTCTAAGCCTGCATGGTGATTTAACATTTCCTTTATTATTCAGCGTTAGCAATGCAGCTCTCTGCTACAATCACAATCATCTTAAGGTCCTTTCCAACCCTAACTAGGCTATGATTCTATGATTGCCTCCACCTTTCTGTCACCTGGACATTCAAGGCATTTGGATTTGACATTGTAATATCACTGAGAAACAGAATTTAGAGGATCATAAAGTGGGGAAGAGAGGGGAATATTTCAAATTTTTCATAACTTTACTACTAAGTGAATTATTCTATGACTGAATTCTGTGGGACTAAAATTAGACCAATGTAAATGAGTCTGAAAAATTTCACCCTCAAGGCTTGTCTTCAAGTGGAAATTCCTGTGAGAAGCTGAGGTGTAAATTTGAAAACACATTAGCTGCTCCACATGTGAATAATCTCATAGTCTGAGGAGGTTGCTCTACTTGGGGACTATGTTATGGCGTAACTGTCCAAGGTCTGTGCCAGCTTCCACAGGACAATGTGGAAACTGAACTCAGATTCATTCAGTCTCCACTACCATCAGAACCATAATACCACCCTTACCACTTTTGCCTTCCTACATATCTACACTAGAGTAGAATCTAAATTGTCCTGAGGTTTTATATGTTGTAATGAATCTAAGTTTGTCTGTGCTTGAGCAGCTGTTCATGTTTCCTGTGTGTACACATTCATCTGTTTGCAATAAACTTTGATAATCTACGTTTATCAACATCAGCTGTATTGCTCATGAACCCATGTAAATTCTTTGATTACATTTTCTATTACTGCCTGTTGTTTATTTCTGCATACTATATATGTGTGTGTGTATTGGCACAAATATAAACCTAACTCTACTTATTAAAACAATTAGTAATATGGTTTTGCCTATAGATACTTAATTTTTTGCTTTTCATAAGTTCCACTGCTTTCTCCCCTCCTTTCTCTTTCATTACCAGCTTTGTGGTGCTTTTAGAAGTTGGTTACATCTTATATTTTAAAATACTTCACATTCAGTTTCTCTTGCATATTTAAGAATGCAGCAGATCCATAATGTTTTATGAAATAGGTTGAACTTTGTAATTTATTTCCCCTGCTGCTTTTAAATTTGACTGAAAGTTTTTCTGAAACACTCGCAGACTGTTAATGGCAATTATATCAGCCTTTTTTTTTTAATGTCAGGAAGAATAGCTTCATTTTATGAATGCTTTTAATGCGCTATTCTCTAATTTCTTATATAAATTTGTTAAGCTCCATAGTGTAAGAATTGAGACTCTTTCACATTCAATAATTGAGCCTCTTACTTCTCACACACTGACACTTCAGTGTTGTTCAATGGTAACATCTTGACTCTGATCTCAAAAATTTGCTCTGAACTGTTTATTATCTATAAACTCAGAGTGACTTTTTCTTTTGACTGTAATTCGCTTTAAGGCATCAGTAGGTGTTACAGCTTTCCAAGTACATCCATGTCAGACTTTCCTCCTTGTACAGAAAGGTTCTGGAAGAAATTTAACCTGCTCTTAATACTAATGTTCTTTTGCTTGAAATGTATTTAAATTGATAGATGCCATAAAGAGTAAGTAGGACATGAGTGTGAAAATATTTTTAGCTAAGAAATGTCAAACTACAAATCTAAGATGAAAATTCAGCATTAAAAATGTAAAATAATGTATACAATTTATAGTTTCTAGAAGAAACACTGTCCTCCCTTGAGAGGAAAAGCTATTACCATTGCTTTAAAACAGAGCTGGCATCAATAACCGGTTGCTTACATCGCTTACTTGCATTACCTTTTTTAGCATGCTATAAACAGAAATAACTATTCCATATTTTATAGTTACAAATTAATTTTAAAATCCAGATTTATTTTCCCCTGTGGGCACATATTTAAGGTGAGAGGACTGAACATTCATAACCAGAATGCAGAAAAAATCTTTTATTGCCACAAAATTAAACATGATGTTGCTTTAAATAGAAGGATACATTTTTCACAAACTGGACCAGGGGGAAATGGTATTATGACTATGCTTGGCAAACCACTTTATGTATTGATGACCAAACAGTGACATACTAAAAGCTGAGAGTAGGGAGATACAGTGGTTGTGATAAGTAATGCTGAGATTTCATTAGAGATCCTCTTTCCCTAACTGAATTTCATGTTAATCTTACCTAATTACTGCATGTTTGTGAGGTTTTCTTTTAAAGTTCTTCTGAAGGTTTGTTCAGCTGTCATGAGCTGCAAATAGGTAGGCTGCAAATGTTTGCCAGAGAATCATTACATAAATTTGAATATGTTTTTTCCATCTTGCTGAGTTGGAAAATGGTTGTGTCAGTTCTTCACTGGAGTTCTTAGCCATACTAGAGATACAAAAGCTTCATATGCTCAACATCTTTTAGGATTACAGCACCATTTACACAGGGAATTAAGATTCTCTACTCTGACATTCAGCACTATCCAACTCCATTTTATTAATGAAGCACTACTCACTGTGAGTAATGGCAGCAGAATGCCTCTCTGATTTCATGTGCTTTTAGGCAGTCTGATTTGAAAGTGTTGCTTTGGTGCTTCACTTTCTCTTTTTTCTTTGAATCTCACTGGACTTGACATTTGTTTTTTGAGGGGTCAGAGTAACTGCTAAGCTACTGATGAAGGATGCCACAGAAAACCTGCTGAAAATATTTCTGTTAACACTATGGAAAAAGTCAGAATGCATTGAAAAGGGGAAAAATAATGTACTCAGAAGTAAAATATACAGTGAGAAAATTAAAGTAATTGCACCATGCATAGAGGCTGCTGAGTGTGCTTACAGGAAAAGGGGAAGAAGGGTCAGGAGACACAATATGTGTATTTTATGTTTAAATCAATCAAATGCAAGCACCTACATCCTTGCTTTATATAACAGTGCTTTACAGAATGATAGGGTTGGAAGGGAAATCTGGAGGACATCTTGTCCAACCCCACTGCCAAGGCAGGGCCACCTAGAGCACATAATGGTGATAGAGAGAAAGGTAAAAGAGAAATGAGGGCTGATCCTCAACTTCTCTTTTTTAAAATTCCTGAGGAAAAATTAAATGGTCCAGAACAGTATGGAATGTGTGGGTTGTAAACTATAAGGGGAAAAAAAAAATTAATTGTGGCTAGACAATGGCAGTGATAGATCACAAAATTGATCACCTCCTCCCACAGAAAGTAAAGGTCTCTTGCCAGTCTGAAACTGAAATGAGAGAATCTTTTGCTTTGTTTTTTTCTGTCTCTTTTACTTGCTGTGCAGCCTCCCCACTGGTAAGAGAGTGACTGTGGACATTCTAACAGTTTATTGTTCTAATTAATATGCAGTTAATTATGAAAATATTTCAGAGCTGTTCCATACCTCTTCCTCTTTCACCTCTGTTACCGGAGTTTCTAGCACCTTGCCAAGTACCAGAATACCAATAATACCATTCAGACTTAAGGAGAAAAATACTAAAAGGTCACTATAAGGTATCTAAGTGCAACAGATGTTTTATGAATTGATGCTACAATTTCAAATAAAAAAGTGCTAATTATAAATTTTATCTTCATGAACAGCTAACACAATATTTGGCTCTGGGAGGGAATCTTACTATGCTGTAAGTCATTTTCATTCACATCTGTTGTGGCTTCTCCTCGTCAGAGTTTCTAATGTGCCCATTACCATTTGTCTCCAGTCTCACAGATTTGAAGTCTTAAAGGCCAGATCTTGAATGTATGTGATGGCTCCTAAATATTATTTTACCTTAAAGACCTAGGTGAAAATTGACAGAACTTAAAGGCTCCAAAGAATTGCTGTAGGCACACTCAGACATCAAAGAGCTTTTCTGAGAAGTTGTAACTGATTTGAAGTGAAGCAGCATTAAATGAATAGTGCAGAAAGCTTATTTGGGTGCAAAGCAGTGCTGAGCTATGGGGGAGGAGAAGTGATGCTGTATGGTGATGAACATGTTCTACTTGAATTAACCATGCTGTTTGATGTAGTGCTACAACCACAGAAAGTGTGGGGAGACATTAAACTGGTAGATGCAGATTGGTTTTGCACAGGGAAGTTGTCATATTAACTGACTGGACTAGGGGAAAGAGAAGAGGCAGTTGCTTTGTTTTCCACTGAAGTTTAAGAGGTTTTGACATATGTATGTATATCTTTGGCTGGAGTACTGACATGCCTACGGGTTCAGGCTGTACGTCAAAGTTAGAAAGGTTGGGACTGCAGGGAATTTTTTCTAAGTTCTGTCTTCCCTAACCAAGAAGTGCAAAAGACAGTCAGATAGGAAACCTGCTGAAGCTCAGAGATCCTGGAGGTAATCATAAGTATTTGGTATTGGCTGTCTGCTCTCAGACTTTTTAGAGTAGGGAATATTCTTTTACTTTATTTTAACATAGTACTTCAGCAGTGGGAGCAGGTCTGGTAAGGAGGAAATCATCCAATTTCTGCTTTTCTATGATATCCAGAAAATAAACTCTCTTTTACTTACTCTTTAAGACTGAAAGACTGTCATCTTTGACTCTCTTTTTAGCCTGAGAAGCAATGTGAAAGAGGCAGGAGTTTGGCACACTGGGCTATTGTCTGTGCTGTACTGTGATTATTAGGCATTTTTAAATGTTTCCATGATTGCTTTCATTCCTGTGCCTGTGCAGCTGCCTGTTGGATTGAACATGCATGTATGTAACTCAATAATTGACATGTTGAAGGCATTAATTGAGTCTTTATTCAAGAAGGGTATTATCTATTTGTTTCTTTCCTAATGTGCTTGCCTGTTCTGTATTATGTATTATGGTTCTGTATTATGGTACCTTCTTTGTTAACAAGGACTTGCTTACCAGTGTAAGATTTTGCCCTTTCACTACTTTCTGTATTAATCAGTTTTAAGAATTGCTAGGCCATTGCTTTCTGTGGTCTCTGACTTCAAGTTCTATGCGTTTGTTTACTCTCAGGAAGGGGGCTTTTTTCTATAATTTTGGATTCTTTGATGCTCAGAGACTCTCAGCATACTTAAACCCAGCATGGACTGGGTATGTTTCTTAGTGTAGCAAATCCTATTATTTTGTCAAACATTCATAATCACTCAGGCCTTTTGTCTCTGATCCTTATCTTTATCTTGTCTCTTATTAGGGCCTATGCCAGTACCCAAGATTTCAAAATTAGATTTTCAGCCTTAAAACAATTGCCTAGATGACTGATGTTTTCAGTTTCTTTATATTCTCTCAAAGCCCCAGTTTTATAGGCTTCTGAGCTGGTTTGGGGTGGGGTTTTTTTGTGGGGTAGGGTTGGGTTATTGGGTTTTCTTTTAATTTTTTCTCTGCAGTAGTTCTCACAATCCTGAGTTAGCCAAAAACTATTAAAAATACTGAGTACTTAAGATGTAGCTGTAGGCAGAAAAATAAATATGTCCTTTGGTTGCACACAGTAATGAAGTATTTCTTAAACTTGTTCAGTTATCCCTGACTGATCAACTGATCAACTCTGATGGGCCTTTCTGCTGCTTTGTTTTATCATGAGTGAATTCTCAGCTCACTTTACACCTTTGCTGAGCCAAGAAGCCTTCTCTTAGTGTATGAATTTGACATTAGAAGGTCTTCAATCTGCTGATTGTTGGATAGTAAGACTTATTACCAAGGGAAGGATCAGTTTATTTCATGCCTTCTATAATGGGGATATACAGCAATTGTATAGGACCCAATACAGCAATTCTTATCAGTCAGCATCATATAACTACTTCCTAGAGACTAATGCCAGTCTTGGAAAAGTTCTCTGAAAAGGTATTATAAACAGAGGGCAAGATAATGACCTTGGCTCAGCAGACTTGGCTGAAGTGCTTAGTTGTGGGAGAGCTTTCCAGATGGGGACAAAGAAGCCTCCTTACCTGCAAGACTTCCATCTCATGGCTTCTCTACCTGGACAGCTTCTCATGTATCACTCCTGGCTGCCTTAGGTAGCTCGTCGTGCAGCTGCCAATGTCTGATGAGTAGCTCTCCCCCTGTACTGGGGCAGTGCTGAAAATGAAACATATAATATTGACAAGTTCTGCCCAGAAGAACTCTCATGTAGACCAAGTTTTCCCTTTTTGAAGTGCTTAAATACTTTAGAATCCCATTGGTTCAGAGTAGGAGGGGCTTATGGTTGTGGTTGGTTTTTTGTTCTTTTAATGCCAGGAAGTTGTGCTTTTTACAAGAGAGCATAACTAGTTCTAGGGTCACCCATTTCATATGTATGTCCTGTAGGAATTTGCTGTTTTGCACAACAGAGAGCGAACTGGTCCTTGTCCCTCTTGAATGCTACTGCCATCTCTGACCCTCTGAGGAATCTTTTCCTTTGAAAGACAGGTCTCTCATAAATCCTCTGCAGCAAATCCTAATATTAATTCCTAAGCATCAGTGAGTATTAATGTGTTCTTTGTGACAATGTGTGTGGGCAAATGAATAATATTCAACCAATTATATCTGAGGTAGAAAGATTGAAGTTTTGTCTTAGTAAGATCTGTAGAAATAAAACACAAAAACTAGTTATCAGTCACACATCATTACATCTTGCACCTTTATGATTCCACAGTTACTACTTATTTAACTGAAGACCTGGTATAGCAGATTACATGAATGTTTATGTTGGTCCTCATGCATAGAGGTTTAAGTTTAATTCAACAGTACAATAATGTAAACCCATTTGAAATACGCCAATGTGATGTGTAGGGTGGTTAGATATATAAAATTGGCCTTGTTATCTGTATTAATCTGACCACTGTCTATCTGTACATCTTAATAGGAGCAAAATTTTTATGTCTATTTAGAGGTATGATTATAATGTACCTGGCTTTATGGACTAAACATATTAAGGGCCTTTATGAAATTGCAATTCAGTAACTTTTATGTAGATGGTTCAAGTATGATATTTTTCAAAGATACCATAAAATATGAACATGTAGGCTACAGCCATAGAAGGTTTATTTAGCTCAGAAATATATTAGCATATTTATACTGTATATATTACTGTATATGAGGACTGCTATATATATTTGCAGTCATCATCAGGCAGTTTTCTATCTTCAGTTATCAGAAAAGGGAGTTAGAAAATATAATGTTAGCCTTAGGGAAGCAAAATTTTTTGAAAACTCCTATCTACTATTATCACCTGCCAATGATTTAATGTGTTTATAGTTTATGCTAACCTTAGCTTTCCTTTTTATCCACTGTAGTCTGTGTACCTGGTAGAAGGGAAGCCCGCAGCCAATTGCCATTACTTCGCAGCTCTTATCTTTTACTCACCAAATAGCAATTTTCTTTTTTATTTCTTTTCATATTCCTGTAAGGTAGTAACTGTTGGCTATTATAAAACTGCAATCTCATTAGAAAAGTTTCATCCAAATAAATTCACCATTGATGACTGGCAGCAGGGTTGGGACTAGATAATCTTAAGGTCCCTTCCAGCCCTAACCATTCTGTGATTCTATGACTGTATGATATTAGGACTTTAAAATGTTAAAGTCTTTGTCTTTTTTTGGGATAATATATGTTTTTATATTGATGCTTAAAGAGACACCTTTTGACTCTCTCTTTTCCAGAAGAGTTGTTTTGGCAGCAAGAGAGGATTTTGGGACAGTCTGTGGGATCATGTTTTTTTAGGAATTAACTCATTTAAGAATTCTTAGTACATGTCCCT